TCGATGGCTTCGTGTGTCTGGTGGATAGTCCTACACTGTCTTCTCTTATCGGTTTGACGCCATCTGAAGCAATGGTCAGTCTCCAATCCAGAGCTGATTGATTCCGCATTTGTTTTGCCAATGTTTCGCTCTTTCCCATGGCTGTTCAGGAGGTACGCGCATCCAGTGACATAGAGCGGCGCAAGGATGGTCAGCGTCGTTTGGGTGCGGTTGAAGAACAGTTGAAGCGGCTCGATCTGCTCCTGGAATTGGAACTGTTCAGTGGTGGTCGCGCAGATCCCGTAATCCGCAGCATTCGAACTTTGATGCAAGCACTTGATGTTTTATAGCAATAAGCATAACAATCATAAATATGTGGCTATTAGTCGTTCCGACACGCTTGTGTGATTCTGTGATCTCGTATGTTGTACACTTACTTTTTAATTGCTTTATAAGAATTGTTTGTTGCTGGTTAAGCCATAAATATTATATGTATTTTACTTTTTTAGAGCTTTATCCCAGTATTGGAATTTTCGTGGTTACGTATAGCTTTCAAACTTTTCCTAAGCAAAATTAATAAGTAGGGCCAAGCGATTTCTGGCGAATACAACATGGTCCTTACAGCTACTTGGAGGGGGGAGTGAGGCTGGGGGTAGGGGAAAATCAGCTGATACACAAGTCTTCTTTTTTTTTCAAAATGAATTTTTCTTCAGTTAGGCAGGTTCGGAATGATGGGGGAGTGGGCCAGATTCTGTGGTGGACATGTTCGACGGTTTTGTTCTCCATGGGTTCATAAAGATTTTGGCTCCACACCATTTAAGGCAGAGCCATTGAGTAGTCATAGTTTGTCATAAATAAAACTGTTCCTCAGTCAGCAGGGAACTGAAAGACGAGAACTGGGAAAACGAATCGAAATGAGAGTATAAAGTTTGAATTCGTATCAGAGATAGGGCGGAGTGAGCAACATAGGGAGAAGATTTATGGAGCTGGGATACTTTTTGAGATCTGGTTTCCTCTTGCCCTGCCTACAGGATGTTAAAAACACTGAAATCAGATGTTTAGGTTTAAGGTTCCATGTAAATTCGGAGAATCGAATCGAAAATTGCTTTTAGAGATTTTGCTTGTTTTTTGATTGTGCGGGTTCTGTCCCGCCTGCGGGCGAAAGTTTTGTTCAAACCAGATTTCTTAAGACTTTTTACGCGAGAATTTTTGCTTTATTCTTGGGTGCTCGGTCCTGTAAGAAGTTCCAAGTAGACTACTATCGTGTGGCTTTCTATCCACTACAGATGTGGAGTCTTTAGAGTGTCTGGCTGGGTTTTCACATCAATTTTTTCATTTTGGGTGTACGAAAGTCGACAAGGGGAGACCTAGTTTCTGCATCTGATAATTATCCTGGTGGTAACTGTAACTTTCGAGTCCCCGAATTTTCCATCTGTGGTGGTTCCAAACTTAATGAGAGTTGAATTGTTACCCATAGGAGCTTCCCTGATACGTTAGACTGCCGCTAGATGTAACGTGCCAGAGCCCTTAGTGAGTTCAATTTGAGGACTGAGTTAAGGAGATATTGTTACTTCACTAATTTCGAGAACAGTGTGATATTTGGTTTCATTAGGAAGAAGACATTGTACACTCTCACCTCGTACACAGAAAAGGGGATAAAAATGGAGCGACTCTCGGAAAAAGTGGATACGACGCGGCGCGCACGCGGTCCTCATAATTTTGGACCATCCTGTACAGATGACAGTACTTTGATGTGCTGGAAATAGGGCAGGCTTAAAAAAAAGTTCCTAAGGCTAACAGCTAACGTGATGAAAAAAAATCAGAATATAGGAGAGAGCAATTAGATGAACAAAAACAGAATCTCTTAGAAAAATATGATAATAGTAGATAATAATAGTCAGCTAGAGTGAAATGGACACTAATTATCGAGACAACAGAAAATGGACTGTTTAAAAGTATATCACATTTCAAGGATCCTCAGATCCTATACATCCGGGACCGCAACTTCCAACTCCTCTCCAACCTTGGATAGCAATTTAGCAGCAATTTAGCGCTAAAATTATCAGTGAAATATCACTAACCGTTTTTAGGCTCTATGACGAAAGAGACCGATCTCGTTTTTGGTGGCATCCAGTGAGTCAGAACTCACTTGTGGATAAGGAGAATAGTACGGCAACTAAACTGCACATAGTATTTGTAGGAAATGTTCTGAAATATAACTAACCGCCTGGGCGCTCGCAACAACGAAGAGCAGCAGAATCATGGAGGCAGAACTGATCTGCAGCGGTTGCAGTGAGTATTTGAAGGGAAGGAAATAGGTCGGCACTTTTGTGACGGAAACGAACGTGACACTAAGCCTCAGTGAGGATCGAGGACAATCTCCGATAGTGCACGCTTCACGAATCACTCCCGAATTAGTATCACGCACTGGAACGGGAACTCGTTCACAAAAGTGCGGATTGGGCACGAAGCGACAAAATATGAACACCTGATGAAGGACACGTTAAGAGGAAACCAGATCTCAAAAAGTATCCCAGCTCCATAAATCTTCTCCCTATGTTGATCACT